TTCCGCGTAGCTTCGGCCACCGAGCGGCTCTCGAGGTGCGTCATGTGGGGCGAGTCCAGGAGGGGCTCCGAACTCTGCGATGATCGACGGCGCTGGGTGCGCCGCGCTGCCGCCGGCACCGCAGAAGGTGCAGCCGGCCCGACCAGCCGGCCGCCCAGGGTCGCCAGCAGGGTTCGCGTCTGGCAAGGGGCCGACGGCGCCAAAGGTTTGGAACCTTGGGGCGGCTAGAAGAAACAGAAGAGGTTGAGCAGCGCGAGCAGCAGCGTCGTCCCTGAGCGCCCCGTCGAGCTCCTCTTGCCGCTTGATATAAGACAGGCCTCGGGGCGGGTTGTCCGCTGGATTCGTCTCGGACGGGGGCCCGAGAACATGGGCGCGGAGACGGCGCCCCGGGGTCGGGGCCGCTATTTCGCGAAGGACGCCCCGAAGCCGAAAGGCCGCCGCGCGGCCCTTGCCCACCGCCAAAGCGAGCCCCACGTTGTCTACCAGGGCGAGAACTCGATGGCCGAAGGCCCGCCGATCCCGAAGAGCATGTCGTAGGGAGTTCGAAAGAGCGAGCCCCTCAAGACGCGTGATGTTAGCTGGGCCCCGCCATGGAAAAACACAAAAAAAAACACGATGTGCCGGGCCACGCGGTCAGTGCAGCTCGCGTCGATCATGTCGCAGGCCTTCTTGACCTCGTCGGCCTGGCGCAGGCTATCGGGAACGTCGTCAGCGCAGACCGCCTCGGTCACGTCAGAGGCGAAGGCGTGGCTCCTGGCAGCAGCAACGCCCTGCTTGTGGCGCCACTTCTCGGCGGTGCGGCCCCGCCGAGCGACCAGCTCCGGTTCGGCCCGGCGAACGCAGACGCCGCGGCCGTCGCGCCGGGCAGCCACTTGGCGTCTGTATGGGCCGCGCATAGCGGGAACCGGTCCCAAGCTAGCTTCAGCTCCTGCACCGCAGAGCCCCGCAGGGGGGCGACCTGCCGCTCGTGGGCCGTCGCGAAAGCGCGGGCCGAGCTGGGGATGGAGAGGGTCGACCGCTGCAACAACATCAGCCGCGTCGCGTGCCCCAGCGCCGCCTCCAAGACGCCGACAGAGCAGCGCCCGAGCCTCAAAAGCTCCTCGATGGCCAGACGGCGTCGCCACGTGCGGCGCGTCGACGCGCGCGCAGCATGGGCGCGGCCGTCGAAAGAAATCCCCGCGAAGTCGGCGGGTTCGACCGTCTCGGAGGCGTTCTCGCGCAAGGAGAAGCCCTGGCCCTCCAGGCTGGAAGAGACCCGCCGCCCGGCGAAAGCGACGCGCTCCTTCGGAGCGCCCTGGGCCATGAAGTTGTCGAAGTAGCCCGCGGCGCCCAGAGGCCGCTCGGGCCCGAGCGGGCGCGAGGCCGCGCGCGACAGGCCCCCCTCCGTGATCAGCTGGCAGAGGTGCGGGCCCAGCCCCAGCCCGTCGGCAGGGCCGTCAGGATGGGCGCGAGCGGCGCCGAGGCTGCAGGCCGCGCGCCGCCCGCCAGCGGCCGCCCAACTAGCCCAGCGCGAACGGGCGGCAGGCGGAAGCAGGGCCCGAGCTCGTGCGGGACGGAGATGGCGTAGAGGCGTTCTGCGCGTCGTCCACTGAGTACCAGGCGACGTCGCACGCGCTGGTCTCCATCCCCGAGGAAGCTGCGGCGGGCGGCAAGTGCGTCGACGGCGGCGGCTCGAAGCCGCAATTAGCGAGCCGCGTGTCGAAGATGATCCGTGCTGGCCGGACTTCTTCTGGGCGCAGAACTCGGCCAGGATAGGCGCGAGGTGAGCCATTCCGCGCTCCAGCATCCCCTGGACAGAGTCTGCGCAGACGCGCTGGTGGCGGAAGGCGGGGTCCACGTAGGGCTGGTGGAGTCCGAGCTCAGACCGAAGGGCCACCGCTGCAGCTGGAGGTCGCCGCATCCTGGCCGTCGGGCCCCTCAGCCGGAAGGCGCGCTCGACCGAAGGGGGCGCTGGCCAGGTCGACTGGGGCGCCTCCCGCGGCCGGCCAGGACGCGAGGTCCTTGTTGTGGGGAGAAGACGGCGGTAGAAGTCTCGCCGTGCATGACGGCGGTGCCGCAGAGCTCGCGAAGGCTCCCGCGGGGGCGAACATCGGCGGGGCAGGCCCCAGCTGCCGCGTTGCTGCGCTCCAGATGTTCCAGGCGCGACTGCTGCGTGACCGAGGGCGGCCCGACCCATGCATCACCGCGACCAGGGAGAAGGCTCATGGCAGAGATGCCATCATTAGCCCAATCCAGGGCACGAAGACGACGGAGTACGCGGCGATCGACAGCTCGAGAGCGGCCACCTCCGAGGCGAGGAAATGAAAAAGCAGGCAAGGGGAACGCGTCGCGCTGGCGACTCATCCCGCAGCGGCCGAGAAAAAAAAGCCTGCCAGCCCGGGGCCAAGAAACGGCAGGCAGCCGAGACTGTGGAAGAGCGGCAGAAGGCTACTCGCCCTCCTTGCCGCCCTTGGCCCCTTTCTTGGGTCGGGCCAGCGCGCGTTCCTCTCCTGCTTTCCTCCGCTCCTTGGCGATGGCGCTCTCGCGGGAGATCTGCTCGCTGCTTCAGGTGCTGAACTCTGGCGCCGCCATGAGACCCGGGGTGGTGGCCATGCCGTTGAAGTCGCAATGCTCATCCCGATGGCTCTCGTCGCCGACCTTCGCGCCCAGGATCTTGTCGCGGTAGCGCTCTTCGCCCAATTTGGGTTGGCGAGCCACCAGTTCCAGAGGCCCGAGGTTACTGATGTCTAGCTGGTCGTAGCACAGCGCAGTCTCGAATATTTTGCTGAACTCCAGATGCGTCGGCTAAGTGATGTCGTCCAGCGCGGGCCCGATGTTCGACCTCCACTGAACATGGCGGCCCAGAGCGTAGAGGCGAGACAGCGCGCGGCAATTGGCGGCGTCCGACGCGTTGCCGGCAGCGGGTCTGCCGAGCGCGCCCTGCCAAGGCAGCGGCGAGCCCCGCGTGCTCAGCTGCGGGCGCCGGGGGCTCAGCGACCGCCGCCGCTCCGCCGCCGACTGCGGCCGCCGCCGCGGGCGGGCCCGCGGCCGCCGGGGCCGCTCCCGCCACGGCGGGTGCCGCGCCAGCGGGCACCACGGCGCCGGCGCCACCTCCCGCCGCCCCTGCTGCAGCCGCGCCGCCACCGCCCAGGAGGGCGACCAAGCCTCCGCCAGGTTCACTGCCGACTCCGAGACCCTCGCCGCCGCCGCCACCGGCAATCACCTTTGCTGCCACAGCAGGTGCGCCTCCCCCAGCCCTGAGCTGCGCGTCGTGGGCTGCGATGAGGCGATCCGCCTCCCGCGCGCAGCCGAAGAGCTCCTGCGCCGAGGGCGCGGGCTGGAAGTCGTAGACCGCCAGGCCCGCCGCAGCGGCGGGGGCAGCTCCACCTTGGCCGCAGAGGTGCCACGCTGAGATGTCGGTGTTGTCAGGCGTGACGTGCTCTATGAAGAGGTCATGGTCAGGCGAGGCCACTGCCGCGCGCCGCGGCAGCGCGGCGCTGACGCGCACCGCCGCGCGGCGATGCGGCAGCGCAGGCCCGGGCACAGCATGCGCCGCCAGCGCCTCATCGCGGATGTTCATCCAGCGTCAGCACCCGGCCGCGTCCTCGAGGAGCCCGACGGTAGACGGCGCCCCCCCAAGCCGGCGCAGGGATCACCTCGGGCCGATGCGACCACAAGTGGCCCCAGCAACCGCCCGTGAAACGGCGCGCCGGGCCGCAGGCCGCGGCCGCGCAAGTGGCAATGACCTCCCAGACGAGGAGCGCCAGCAGCCCGAAGCCCAGCTCCCAGCTCGCCGCCCCAAGACAGACGACCCGCCTCCTACTCGGGGCAAGCCAGGCAGGGGTCAGGGCAGATCTCCCAGGCGGGAAGGGCCGGCGCCGGAGAGCACCGAGCAATGGCCGCGCAGAGGTTTTCGACCTGCGCGATGGGCGGTGCCGCCGCTGGGCAGCCTCGATCGCTCCGGCGAGGCGCGGGCAGGCGCCGGCCTCGGCGCCTCTGGGGCCGCCGGCGCGGCCGGCGGCGAGCGGGCGCCGCCCCGCAGGCGGCCCAGCCAGGCGGCGCAGACGTGGAAAACAACCGGCGTCTCGCCTCGGGCCGCGGGGCGCGCGCGCGGTCCTCGCGCGCGGGCCTCCTGAGGCCTGCGCAGAAAAAGGCTTGAGCCGTGGCTGTTGCAGGTGTCGCATGCTCGCAACCGCGCGGCCCTCCATCTTTCCACGATCACAGACCAATAGCAACACATTAGTAGTATAATCGTATACGTAGGTGTATGTGTATGTGTATGTGTATAAATGTAAGTATGTATGTATATATATATGTGTGTGTATATATATATATATATATATATAAACACCCGACGCGCGGCCGAACAGCTACTGGACGCCAGGGCGATTCCGATGCCCAGGATTTAAACGATACGTCGAATCATCGAGCGGAGAGGAGGATGTGAGGCGAGGGCGACGAGACGACGTGGAAGAAATATGGGTATGAGAGAGGCTCGTGCCCCCGCCTAAACGCGAGGAGTCATCAGGTCGAACAGGGCGACGACGTGGCGGCGAGCAGGCATCGCTTCTCAATCCCGAGCCCCGCGTTGGCACACTGGTTCCCATCTGAGATTTGTCCAACTTATCGGCCTTATCTGGCTCCAAGGATTGGTGTGGATCCGACTTTGCAAACGCACCAGGATCCGCTAAAGTATGTAAATCCGAGTAACCATGAGAAGCCTTTCCAGGATCCGCAAAGTGGTGCAAATCAAATTTGCCATGAGAAGCCACGTCTGCAGGAGAGAAGCGAGTCCTGAAAGAGTCGCCACCGTTGTCGTCAGCGCCTGTCGACTTCACCTCGGCACTCATCATTTTCGTCAAAGGTCCTCGCGGCCGTCGAGTGCCAGCTGAAGAAGACGCTCCTGGTGGCTCTTGGGAGGCGCGCCCTTCTTGATCGATGCGCCGCGCTGCGCTGGCGCGGTTAGTGCCTCCACTTGAATCCCCGTCTGGCTCGCCTCGAGGAGTAGTTTCATCGCCGACCTGTCGCGCGTGTGGCTCACTCGGCAGTGCTTCGCCTGGCTTGCGAGGGTGTCGTGGGTGATCGTTTGATCCGCTCGAATGCCGCCCAGGTATTGCTTGATGTTGGCAGCCGTCTGCGCGCCCACCCGGTTGCCTGGTTGCTGAAGTGCACCCGCCAGAGCTAGCCATTAGTGAGGGTGGGGGACGCCTAGCTTGCCTAACTCCTCAACGATGCGGCCCTCGCTGATCTCCTGGCGGTGCTGTTGGCGGAGGCGGGTCGTCTCCTGGACGAAGGACTGGCCTTTGAGCTTCATCGTCGCGCGCACCTCGTGATCCGCCCTCAAATGCGCCTCCGAGAAGACGGTCGACTCCAGGGCCACCGTGTTCTGCGCGTTCTTCAGTGCGGCGCGAATCGCCGTCGGCATGACCGCTTGTGTCAGCTCGATCGGCATCGGTGCCTCCTGCAGCCCGACAAAGTCGCCGCGTCGCAGCCCGCGCGTCGATTCAGCATTCTCGAAAATGTTCGACAACGTCTGGCCGATCTCCCCCCGTGGCTTGCGCTGCTGGGGCTGCCGGGGCTGGCGAGGACCGCCTGCTCCAGCCGCCGCGGCCGCCGGGCTGGCGACGCCGAGGCCCTCCGCGGCCGCCCCCGCGGCCCGCGGCTCTGGAGGTTGCCGCTGGGCTGGCAGGGCAGGGGGAGCACGAGGTGGTCGTTCCCGCTGGCGGCCCCCGCCTGCTCGGCGCGGCCTCTGCTCGCCGCTTCGCGAGCGCGCGGCGCGGCCTCGCTCTCGGGCGTCTGCGCCGAGGGCGCGGCTGGCGAGGCCCATCGGCCCGCTCGTCGAATGCTGGGTCAGAAGCTGGCGGAGCGTAAACGTCTGTGAGGCGGCGCTGGAGTTCAGCCGAAGTCTCGAAGGGCGACGCGTGCCTCGAGCCAGGCGGCGCGTTGCAGACGAAGCCCTCGAACGCCGAGTCTAGATCGATGCCGAACGGGCAATGGAGGTCCGATGGGGATTTCCACAGCAGGGGCGCGCGGGCTCTGATCGCGCGAACATCTGCGTGCCCTGAAGGCCCGGGCAACGCGTCGTTCAGCGGCGATGAGGATGGCGATGGGGCGCCCTGAGAGACGGGTTCCCGAGATCCACGCCACTCAGGAGCGCCGCCGCCAGCCGTCGCATCGACGGTGGGTGGGGGAGAAAAGAGGGCAGGCGAAAGGGAAATACATTACACATATAAGAACCCATAATGATAAGCTGAACCCAGTTTGCGACTTGAGCCCTGCAGGCGGTGTTCAGTTTTGAATATATTCAAAGAACTCAAATAGAGCGGGAGTAATAAAGTCATTTTGGCCTGGGGCGGCAACCCATAGAGCGACGTGGAAGATCCCGTGGTCAGAAGCAGTTGAAGGTAAAAAAGGCAGATAAACGATATACGCAGATAGTAGAGAATAGGGGCCCAAACTGATTTAGGGAAGGCAGCTGTGGATAATGCAACGCTGTGAACCCAAGTACAACGCGCAACGTGAAGAACGCCAACTCGTCTGAGAAGTTAGAATTGCGTGGCAACCCGCGAATTATAACGTTTTGTATTGGGCAAGATCCAATACAAGAGAGGAAACAAACGCTTTCTTTTGTCGTGCATCGACGGAGCAGCCATCACTTCCAGCACTCGACAACACCGTCGTCGATCCAATCGAGGCTCTCCAGGTGCCAAATCGCGTTCTGGGCCCAGCCGCTCTTTGGATCTACCCGCGCCGCGTGGTGCTCGTGCTCCGGCGCCTTTGTATAGGACTCGCCGCGGTCACCGTAGTGCCACCAGCCCCCCGAGCCCTTATTCCACTTCGTCCTCGGGTTGGCGAGGGGAGAAACAAGAGTAGCATTGCGCTTCCCCATGCTGCCAGCACAAGTTGAGAGAACCCAATGTGAATCGGGTGGGGGAAACCCGGGCTGAGAAACGATATGGAAAGCCGTAAAGGGAGGCGCGGTGCCCACTCCCATTGAAGCTGATATGGCGGTTGAGCGGACGCAGTGCAATGCGCGCAGCCAGAGGCGGCCCACGGAGAAAGAACTTCCCCGGCGCTGCGAGAACGAAGACTAGCGATCGAACCGACGATACTTCTCCACCTGGCTCCACTCCACCCTAGTGTTGAGAAGACAAATCCGTAACCCAGAAGTCATATTCGATCGAGGCCCAAGGCGCATCCACCTATTAACATCAAACCATTGGACAGTGCACGATGAGACAGAACATCACGAACACCACAACACACGAAGACGACTCCCACACCTGAAACTGAACTGGAAGAGAGTACACACGATTGCACACAACGGGAAAGTTCGCAGTCGGGAGAACAAGTCGTCAGTCGCAAGAAAATGTTTTGGCCTCAAATGCCCAGGGCCAGCGCCACGTTTGATGACAACGGGATCATTGAGCAGGGGACAGAGGGTCGAAACAGGAGGCATCTAAACGTGGACTTTCGAACGTGGACATGCGATGCAGACGCTGGTTGGTGATCGCCATGAGGTGGGCGAGAACGCGCGTGCGATGCGCGGGGAAGTGGCGCTTGCGCGCTCTGAGGGCCCCCGCGCTGTGGAAGACCTGCCCGCGGAGCCCGTCGGGCCCCGCTCCGGGGAGTTCACAGTCATGAGGCTCATGGAGGTCCATCTGGCTGCTGAGGTCCTCTGGGGGGTCCTCGAAGTTCGGGAACCTTGCGGGACTTATCGGGATTGAGCCAGCAGAACACCCAGCCGACTGCCTCCCTGGAGCTCGGGGCCCCCGTCCAGGTACTGCAGCGCTTGGAGGCCCTGCTGGGCCTGGAGAGCCCAGGGATTCGCTTTCGGATTCACCGAGCCGTCGTCCAGGAAAGTGCTGGCCTCCTCAAGGCCGTTTAGATCCCCCAAGAGTGCTGCCAAGGATTGTCGGCTGTCGTCTGGATGCGCTACGAAGCGCTGCCACTGTCGACGTCGACGCGCCAACATCTCGGCCTTCGAACCGGTGATCCACATTTTCTGGGGCACAGTCGCCTCGGGCAGTGGGCGGTACTTCGGTCGTGCACCGTCGGGTGCATCAGCAGCAAATCGTGGCTTGCGATTTCTGCAGACCACGCGTGCAGATCCGAGAATGACGGAATCTAGACGTCTGTAGTCCAGCTTGCCCGGCAAATTCGACTCCGCTTCCGAATAGGCTGCCGAGAGGATAGTCCCTTGAAGCGCCATTCGCTTCAGAAGAGGGCCCTGGGCCAACCCAAGAGGGCCTCAAAAACGCCCGAAAGGTAACCAAGACGAGCCTCCTTCGCAATTGAGCATTGCAAGAGGGGTTAACTACCAAGCAATCAGGACCGAACCCGCCGCGTCCCCCGACGGTGGTCAGAGTTGGCTGCAACATGTATCACGGTGTTGCTGTCCTGTAGTGCTTTCGGCCGGTGCACAGTTTTACTCTTTCGTCGCGCAGCGATGCAGCGAATGTTGCGTTTTGTTGCATGTCTGGCAGTTGCGTACCCCAATTATTAGCGATTAGCGCGCCTCACGCATAGTTGTGGTGAAAACGGTTCTGTGGAATGTCTGCAGCGCCGCGCGTGTCTCGCCCAAGGTCGGGGCTGGCGGTGAAGGCGCGTCTCGCGCTAGGTTCAAAAAGGTGCGCGCTGTAAGATTGACATGACTGACATTACCGGCCGTCCAAACGCACGACTCGTCTTCTTTCAGGGCGCAGTTCCGGACATTTACAGAAAAAACGCCACGAGGAGCCCCACACAGACTCACATACTTATTCGAAGAGGCGGACCCTTTCAGAACGCAGCGCGCATACAACACACACCAGCACATCGAACCCGAACGTCTGCCGCACAAACCTTCGGTGCGCCCCCCTTTGAGGCCACGAGCGAACCGTGTGAAGACTGTACTGACATGGTCCGGGCGGCGGCGCGCGGCCTGTGCTGCAATGGCCGTCGGTGGAGCGCCCTATGATGGCACGAGCCGTATGAAGAAAGGACTGAAGTGGTCTCGGCGGCGGCAAGCGGCCTGTGCTTCAAAACCTTTGGTGGCGTTCCCTATGGGACCACAAACCGTGTCAGGGCGTGCTGACACGGCCCAGAAAACGCAAAACTGCCTGCGCTATAAGGGCCTTCGGCGGGGTTCCGTATGGGACCACGAATTGCAAGAGCTAAAACATGAAATGGCCTGGGCAGCGGCGTGCGGCCTGCGATGGAACGACAAACTTCGGTCGAGCTCCCTGTGGGGCAACGAACAGTGTGAGGGGATGCTGGAGTGGATTGGGCGGCGGCAAGCGGCCTGTGCGACAAAAGCCATATGCGTTGCATCATGTGGGGCCACGGGCCGCGTGATAACGTGCTGCTATGCTCTTGGCGACGGCGTGCGGCGCGTGCAACTGCAGCCTTCCGCGTTGACCTCAATGAGGCCACGATGCGCGCGATACTTGCGTTGAACATGTATGGTCGGAAGCACGCGGCCTGCGCAGCACAGGCAAATTCTGCCGAATTTCGCATGGTGCCACGAAGCGTGCGAATACAGAACTCAAGCGTTCTGGGCGGTGGCATGCGGCCTATGCCAAGAAAAACTTTGGCGGGGTTCCCTTCGGGGCCACGAGATGTGCGAATCAAGAACTTAAGATGGCTACGCGGCGGCAGGCGGCCTATGTTACAAGGGCCCTCGGTGGAACTTCTAATGGGGCCGCGAATTCTTTGACACGAACCGAACGAAAGGTGTGCTGACGTGGTTTTGGCGGCGGCGCGCATGCTTTGCTGCGAGAGTCTTCGGTGTCATCTTCTTATGGGGCCGCGAACCGTGTGGGGTGCGTGCTGAATTGGCATCGGGCAGCGGAGCGCGGCCTGTGCTACAGAGGCCTTCGGCGGGGCCCTATGGGGCCACGAATCGTTCGGACGGCGTGCGGAAACTGCACTGGCGGAGACAAAGCGAATATCCACCATGTATATATGAAGAGGAGCTGAAGCGGCTTGGAGTAGGAGGCGGCGGTAGGGGGGGGAACAGGAGAGGAGGCGTTCAGCGCAGGGGGTTCACAACGAGAACCCAACAGACAGGAGGATTAGGACAAAACGACGGCCTCCAAGAGCTCCATCACACTACCCTTCCGATGGCTCAAATGCCTCCGCGTCGCCTCCAAGACAGGCGAAGGATGGCTCGAAGACGAGCCGAGTCCGCGGCAACGGAGTCGCCAAAATGCCCCCCCCAAGAGAAAAAACACGAAATCCTGATACGGCACTGAAACAAGACATCAAGACAGCTCCAGGACGGCCCACTGCAGGCCCCGCTCAGGCGCCATCAGCTCATTTTCGCACACCCAGTGGCATAATCTGGAGGCAGCATCGGTTGAATCCCCCGCCCATGCCCCCAACGACACGACAACTCTGGGACCCAGACAGCGCTTTGGATCCCCAGTCGCAGCGGATTCGAAGGCCCCGGGGGGGCCATGCCGAGCCCGCGCCAGGCCCCTCCGGACATGTCAAAAACCACCGCCGAGGGGAGTCCGGACCCACCGCCGCGGTGGGTTCGGACTCCCCTCGGCAGTCCTCCCAGACGTGTAAAAAAACGATGCCGAAGGGAGTCCGGACCCACAGCGGGGGGGGAGTCCGGACCCACCACGGGCCCATGGGAGCCCTCGCGGAGCCTCCCATGGGCTTCCCCGCAAAGCCCTTTGCCCCCCCCCCCCCCCCCTGCCCTGCCCGCCGCCCCCGTCTCTGCCCCTCGTCCCCCCTCGTTTCTGCTCCTGCGCCCCCCTCGTCGATCCTGCATCCAATGCCGTCCGTCCACTCATTGTGACAGCTCCGAGCCTCACCAAAATGTAGTGTAACTGGGATGTACTGCTCGCCCACATGATAAAAACACATGCTCTGAGTTCCCCTCGTCGGAAGCGCCCCTCGCCCGCGTCATCCTTCAAATGGCGACCCCGCCATCGATCGCCCCCATCATGCTGGTCCGTCTTTCCGATGTTTCCCTTCTGCCCCTCCAAAACAGAGCGAACCTGACGAAAGAGGCGACGCATTCTGAACGCATCGCAAAAATAGACAAGACCACCCGACACGCGCGAACACACTGAGCCCGCATGCGAAATCTACCACAAGGGCCTCCTGTGGAGCTCCCCATGAAGTCACCAAGCGTGTGAAGACTGTGCTTAAGTGGTCTGGGCGGCGGTAAGTAACCCGTGCCACAAAACCCTTCGGTGGAACTCCCTTTGGGCCCACGAATCGCGCGAGGCATCACTGAATTGGCTTGGGCCGGCGGCTTGCGGCCTGTGCTCCACGTTTGGCAACTAAACACGTTGGCCGCGTGCTAAAATGGTCTGGGCGGCGCAATGCGGCATGTGCGCATGCGCTTTCGGCCGGGTTCCCCACAGGGCCACGAACCGTGAGGGGCGCGTGCTACATGGTCTGGGTGGCGGCGTGCGGTTTGTGCCTGACGACCCTTCAGTGGAGTTTCCTCGTGCAGCCGCGGATCGTGCGAGGACTGTTGAGATGGCCCGGGCGGCGACGCGCGGCCTGTGTCACCAGCGTTCTCGGCGGAACCCCTCATATTGCCACGAAGCGCGTGGCTGGTTTTTTAGAAGGTCTGAACGGCAGCATGCGCCCAGTGCTACAAACGCCTTCGATTGGGTTTCGTATGATGGGGCGACGAACCATTCGATGGGCGCGCTGCAATGGTCTGCGCGGTGGCATGCGTCCTGCGCAACATCAGTACATTTGGCACAACTTTGTGGGGGTCCGCGAATTGTACAGTTTGAATGAACTGAAACGGTCTGGACGGTGGCGAACGGCCTATCCCACAAAGCATCCGGTGGCGTTCCCTATGGGGCCGCGAATGTCGTGGCGGGGGCGTTGACATGGCCCAAGCGCGGCTCGCGGCCTTTGCCGCAAGGGCCTTCGATGGAACTTCAAAAATATGGAGGCGCGAACCGCGAGAGAAGCGGCCCTCCAAGAATCTGGGCGGCGGCGTGCGGCCTGGGCTCTGCGGGATTTCGGTTGGTTCTGGAATGGTCGGCGAGGCGGCGCGCGACCACGACGTGTCGGTCGGTGGGGATGCGCATGGGGCCATAGCGCGCGTTAGACTTGTGGCGGCATCTGCATGCGATCTGCGCCGCAGGGATTTCTCATGGAAAGCAGCATGGGGACAACGAACAGCGCGCGGCGCGAAGGGCGCGATTGCCTCGGCGCGGCTACAGACCGAAAGCCTACCGCGCAAGAGAGAAGGGGATGGATGATGCGGAAACGAAGCGGGGAGGAAGAATATCAGGAAGAGGAGGATGAGGAGAGGGGGGAATAGAGGAGACAAAATGAGGCGCGAAACGCGGCGAATTCAAAGCGAGGACCTAACATGCGGGAGGGCAAGGAACAACAACAAAAGACAGCGAAGGCCTCCCGCGACAAGCGCGAGCGCCGCGCGCGCCAGGCAAACCAGCGGGACGCCAGGCACGCGAGGCACAGCGGTCACGCCGGGCACAGTGCACGCGCAAAACGAAAATCACAAAAATACAGACCGCGCCAAACAGATAGCGGGATCACCCGCCAACGCGCCCGCGCGATGCTGGCACCGGCCCGCGCTGCAAGGAATCCCCGGCCAGCGCGAGCCATCGCGAGGCCTCCAAAGGTACATCGCATTAAATGTTTACGGGAGGTGGTGCTTGTTCGGAACGGGACCAGGCCCTGGAGGGCGAGCGCAGACCTGCAATTCCTTGTCTGGCAACGCCAGTAATGAGAGCCGCCGAGCTCGCGCGCGCTATAACCATCGACGGAAGCACCAGCCTCAAGCCCTGCGGACGCGCTGGCATACGTCGGTTCATCTCGCTTCTGCCCGCGCCCAACAAGGAACTCAACGCGCGCCCGTCCAGGGGCCGCCGCGGACCGCGGCCCTCGACGCTCTCCAGAAGCGCGGTGGGTTCGGTCCCGATTGGCTGGTAAGCATTGTGAACCAGCTTGCTGCACATGCCGGCACGGCCTTTTCACTGGAGGCTTCTTTGGAATTCCGCACCACAATTTGGACGCCCGAGATGGGTACGGAACAAATGGGTACAATGCCCAGCAACAAATGTTGTCCCAAACCAACAGCGGCCGCTGTTGGGCAGGCGGCCTTCTGTCTCGAATGGGCACAGGCCGGGGCGGCGTGGACAGCGAGTCCTGTTCAAAATGAACAAGAACGGCTGTTGGGCATTGTGCCCATTCTTCCTGTACCCATGTCGTTCGTGCCGACACAAGGGGGCCCGTCAAAAAATTATTGCTGCTACTCGCGGATGCCAGACCGGCCGTTTCACTTGAGACTTCCTCGAAATTCCGCAGCCAAGGGGGCCCAAGAGGGGGAACTCGAACTGACACGTCGAGCCCTCCGCCCCAAAGATGACCCACGAGACTGCTTAGCAGCCCCAACTCGGGTCCTACACGCAGCCCGCAGAGGCCCCGAGCGCGTCCACAGAGGCCCCGACACACTGCCAACTGAGGCCACTGGCACAGCCCACTGAAGCCCCAAGCGCACCCACAGAGGCCCCACCACGCTGCCCACTGAGGCCACATCCTTACGTGGGGAACTCTGGTAGCATCATTGTGACGAGTATAGGATGGAGCATCAGGGATGGGGGGCCATCGGCCCGCTAGGTGGCAGCGTGGGAATGTAAGTAATGACTCTTTCGCTACAGAAGTCCCTAAACAACTTTACTCAATTACTATGTTGGGCCACGATGGAGGGGTAAGGCTGCGGGTAAAATGGATAGGGATACAAGGAATAATGATAAAAGGACATTGATGCGGAGAAGATGGAGAAAGATAGGGAAGGGAAGAAGGATAGCACGGTCGCGATGGGGGGCCACGATCAGGTGCCAGCGATGGGGGGCCACGATTGGCAATCAGGGGCTCGGGCTACGGGGGTCCACGATGGTCCACCGATTTCGGCGGCTCTGGGCGTACTAACAATCATCTGCCCTACGGGTAAACTTGTCGAGAAATAGGTAACAACGCTAGGGAAGATGGTAGGGGAACGATCATAAGCAGAGGCGGTGGGGAGGCGAAGGGGGGAAGGGAGGAGGGAAGATGAGTGACGACGGAGCGACGAACGGTTGAGAGGCAGGGGGGGGGGGCAGGGGAGCGTTCGGAAGTTATGATTTCAGATTTCAAGACGAACTGGAGGTTCTCCGAAGGTTCCCGAATATGTGGAGGTCTCGGGTCTCTCGGAAATTCTGCGGTTCCTGTCGGTGTTCTGGAATTTCAGGAGGGGCAGAGCGGTGCGAGCCCACGACCCCCGCGAACATGATTCTTCACTGTGTGGACCCCCAGAGGTCTCTAACCCTTCCCAGGGACCAATGTTTCATCTCGACTCGCTTTTTTATCTGCCCTGAGGCCTGGTGAAGGCCGCCGTAGGGTAAAACTGGCTAAGTAAATCCTACTTGATGTGAAGGGGGGACGGCGGCGAGAGGAAGAGTGGGGGGGACAAAAGGAGAGCGGGGGAAGTGGTGGCGGAGAGCTTCTGGACCGCCGTCGACGCGTCGCGAACCTGCCGTACAGTCAAGCTAGTACCACAAGGAAAGCCGAATGAAGACTGAAGCCAACCTGTGGCTCGAGGAGCGCCGAGAGGAGCGACAACGGCAGGACCCAAGGAACGGCGGACCCCCCCGCCCGAACCCGAAAACGAAAAACTGCTCCCCGCCTCAGCGCCTGGACTCCACCGCGGAGCCCCCCTGGCCCTGGCACTGCTCCACAGCAAACGTTCTCGCCGCTCCCCGCCCCCCCCCCCCCCCCGGGGGGGCCGCCTGCTGCGGCTGCGGCTCCGGCCGCGCTTCCGCGAGGGGCTGCGCTTCCTCGAGGCGGCGCGCTTCCGCGACGGGCTGCGCTTCCGCGACGGGCTGCGCTTCGGCGGCGAGGCGCTGCGCCTGCGGCTGCCGCGGCTGCGGCTGGGGCTGCGACGGCGCGATCTGCGGCAGGGGGCGGCCGCCCAGTGCGGGCGGGTGGGGGGGGGGGGGGAGAGTCTGCTGCCGCCGCCGCTGCCTCACCCTGTCGCTGGCGGCCGCTGCTGCTTCTGGTGCCCACTCGTCCTCGCAACTCGGGTTCTTCCGGCCTCTCTGGCCATCGGGCCTGGGGGGTCTTGCCTGCTGCCGCCGCTGCTCCTCCTCCAGGGACTCTCCTGGCCCTCGCCCCCCCCTCGCTAGGAATCCCGCTGCAGGGGCGGGGGGCACAGCGATAGGAGGGAAGGGGCGAGGGAACGAACGATGGAGAAACATCGAGCCAGACCAAGGTTTGAGACTGAGGCGACAACTGCAGACCCTCTTGCCTGATCCGTTTCCGTTTATTGCTGTTGCGTGTTGGGCGCATGGGGGGGCATCTGAACACATATAACTGCGGAGGGGTGCCAGCGAGGCTGGGACCATCGAGGCAGCATCTCTGTCCCCTCGCGCCCTCCTCAGCCCCGCAATCACCCCTTCTTCCTTCCCCCTCCCTCATGCCTTCTCCCCCTTCCTCCTCTCCGAGCGCGGACCCTCTTCAGGGCCACCGGGCTGCACCCCTGGAGCAGCAGGAGCAGGAGCTCGGGCCTGCTCGGGCCCCCCGCCGTGCAGGAGACGAATCCGCAAGCGCGCGAGCCGTTGCGCAACATGTTCTAGGCCCTAGGCAGTTTCGCGAGTGCACCCAGCGGGGCAGCTAATGGACGTCCAACAACAAACAAATGTATCAGGCGCACGTCGATTAGCGAAACCGACGTGGGACTGCACCGATACACTCGAATGCCAATGTCGAATGAACCCATGCAAATTTCCTCGGTCGACTTGTCTGGGGGGGGGGCGTTCTGTCAATGCCCGGGTCATGGCGCCCATGCACGCAGGGTTGAGTCGATGTACGAAGTTGGGAGAAGCATCTCCAGAGCCAGCATCACGGCAGCGGAGCGGTCGCCGAGTCGGCACTCCACGCAGGCTCAGAGTCGAGCCCGCGCGGGCATTCCGCCTTCTTTGTCCTTGCTCTGCGTGCATGCTGGAAGAAATTACCCTGCAGTGCGCTTTTCTCGTGCTGCTGGACCGTGTCTCTGGCCGCGCCGTGCTTCAGGACGACGTCTCCAGTATAAGCTTGTGGCGAGGTCTGCTGTTCTCTCGCCGAGTTCCTCTCCTTGATTTTGCACCTGCCTGGGTCTCCCCCAGGCATGGCCGCCGCGCCAATAAACCTCCTCATACCCTCGAGATCATGATACTATACTCTCACATCGTGGAATCCCGGAGGCCTGGACCCCTCCCTCAAGGGCAGTTTTGATGGCTCTGGAGCCCTGTAAGGGCCCTCGGAACGCAGAAACTGCCAAGCACCTTCCGTTGCGTTTTTCACGACGCGAGGGGGTCTGGGCCTGGTGGTTTCCGGGCCATCACTGAGGCCTGCGGCGGCCGTTCGGGATGATCCGGGCAACCCCCGGAAGGCTCTTGATGAGGCGCAGCTGCTGGACAGCTGCTGGACAGCATCCCGGGGCGACATCACCTCCAATAATTGACAAGAACGTCCGACACTCCCCCACCCCCTGGAGGCCCTCCCCACCACACTCCCCCTTCTGCGTTTCACCGACACTGACTGGATGGCCATTGCGTCAAGAAGCTGGAACGGAAACAACAGAAACACATGAGGCCGACTCAGGCACTGTGATGAAAAACAAACACAGGCCGAGAAGCATGCAGCAGGAACAGGCATGGACAAGGGGAAAACGGACAAGCAAAGGCAAGGACAAGAGGAAAAAGGACAAGCAGAGCAGCCCGTGAGTCTGCGCGCAACAGGGCGGTGGAGGCAATCGAACCGATGCCGAAAACAATGCCCCACTCCTCCTGCCGCCGCAGCGCCGTCGGGCGCCCCCAGTCCGCGCCGCCGCCCGGCCACGCGCGCGGGGCGCGCTGCGGACGGAAGGCGCGGGGCCCCCCCAGACCACCTGGGGACCCTGTTACTGTGAAAATGAAGGGGTGGAGGGGGGGGGGAGGCCACCAGTCCGCCCTACATCCCGAGGCAACCCCACTCCTCCTGCTGCTCCTCCTTCTCTCCCTCACCTCGCCGATCCCCCACCCCTGGGGCGCGGGCGGTCTCCGGCTCGGGCTCCGCTTGTAAGGGTTGAAGCCGTGCGTGAAACCCGAGGAGTCTCCCTGGCGGCCGCGGGCAAGGGGGAGGTGCTCTGGGCAGCATCGGCCTGCACAGCAGAGCGTCAAGCCTCCTCCCTCCTCCTCCTCCTCCTCCTCCTCGGCCTCCGCCTCCGCCTTCGCCTCCGCCTCCTCCTCCTCCTCCTCCTCCTCCTCCTCCTCCTCCTCCATGTTTCCTCCTCCAGTCCTCCGCTGTCGTTCCTCTCCTCTTCCCTCCCTCCCTCCTCCCTCTCCTCCCTCGCTTCCTCCCCCCCTTCTGCTCCTCCTGCCCTCATACTACTGTCCTCCTCCACCTCTTCCTCCTCTCCTCCTCTCCCTCCTCGCCTCCCCCTCCTCGCCTCCGTCTCCGTCTCCGTCTCCGTCTCCGTCTCCTCCTCCCCCTCCTCCTCCTCCTCCACATCTTCCTCCTCCCCCTCCTCGCCTCCACCGTCCAGGGCAGGGAAAGAGTGGGAGGAGATGACGAGAGGGCGGCAAAGGGGTGAGTGGTCGGGCGCACGGCGGCCCTCTTGCCCTGGACGGCTAGGAGGGTGCAGGAGACGAGGGAAGGAAAACCCCCCAAAGGGGCCCCGAGAGGCCTCCCAAACTCGTCCTCGTCCTCTTCGTCCTCCTCGTCCTCCTCCCCCCAACCGCGCGGACGAATGAAACAAGGGAAAAAACAAACAGGCAAAAACGAGCGAAGGAAACAAAGGGTGGGTGCGATTTGAAAGCACGTGGGCGGACGGACGGACGGACGGACGCTGCAATTCGCGCGTGAACGCTGCCATTGAAGCGCGCGGCGGGATGTTTCGGGGCAGCGTGGGCTGATGGGTCGAATGGAAGGCGAGGGGAAGAGGGGGTGGGATGGCTGGGGGGAAGGGAGGGGAGAAAGAATGAACGGGAGACTGGCGGAGTTGAGTGGGAATGGGGGGGGAACGGGGCGTAGGGGAACAGAGGGCAGCAGGGGAATCGGGGGGGGGGAATGGACGTAGGTCAAGTCAGCCAGCTCACGCGGGTCAGCGGACCACGCCCGTTCCCATCCCCCCACAACAGAACAGGATTAATTGCAGACGCATCGCACTTTTTACTTCAAGCCTGTTCTCTTCAAGCGAACGGAACACGCTTGCGCGCGGTTTCGCCTCCGACGACTTGGCGAAGCGGAAGAACGCGGACCGCGCTTGGGCGGTACTGCATCTGTGCGCGGCGATCCGGCGAAGACGCAACTTAGCTGCTTTCTCTCGGGGTCTATTTTCAGATGCGCGTGGCGAAAGCAAATCGTGCCGAACAGCACTGCCAGGTTCATGCGCAGGCTTCTCGGCATTTGAGCGAGCGCGACATTTCGCCCGATCTCGCGCGGCCCCGCTGCCGCTGTCATGCGATCGGCGAACGAAAAACGCGCCGCGCCCAAGTGGGAAGGCCACTTCTGGGCGAAACCTGGATTGAAAACTTGGGCGGAGGAGGCCCGTCGCCCGCTCGTGCGCGTGCCCGCCCCCCGACCACTCGGCGAGTAACGCGCGCCACGCTGAAGCGGGGGCGCCGCTCTCGGGCGAAATCTGCGCGGCGCCAACGCGAGACTGGTATCATCGCCAGATGGCGTGCGACCCCGCAGTCGACCTTGGCTAATATTACGAACGCGCTGGGGCGTTTCTGTGCTTTTTCTATTTCTTGAGCTCGTGATCTGCCACGGGCGCTCAAACCAACGCGGCGTTTTTTGGGGCGTTTGAATTTTTTCTCTCTCGTCGTGAAACCGGGGGCTGCAATTGTTTTCCATGCTCAGAGCTGGAAGCGGTACAAACAAACAGCCTAACGCCCGTCTGCCACCGGTTCGCAACAGGCCTGGATGCCCGCGGCCTGTCCGCCGCGGGCTCCGAAGATTGAGAGCAACATGCCTGGCAACCCTGAGACCGAATGAAACTTTTTTCTGGAGCCCTCTGAAGCCGCTTTACCATAGCCCTGGGCTTTCTCTTTTCTCATGTAAGAAGAGCGGCCGCCTCGCGGCCGACAGTGACTCTCTCTGCGACGTCGACTTCAAAGGTCATGGATGCAGCTGGATCGATGGTGCGAGACCACTCGCCCAGATAATATTACAAGGGAAGTGGATGGGGACGCAGGCAGGAGAAGCTTGAGCCAGAACAGATACGGTCGCATCTGTGCTGCGAACATAAGCGGTACGCTGAGAATGAAAGCCAAGAACACACATCTTAAATATTACAATTCTGGAGCCCTCTGAAGCCGCTTTACCAGAGCCCTGGGCTTTCTCTTTTTCTCATGCAAGAAGAGCGGCCGCCTCGCGGCCGACAGAGGCACTCTCTGCGACGTCGACTTCAAAGGTCAAGGATGCAGCTGGATCGATCCGCACGCATCGCAGACTCTGGAAACTCAAGAGGCGCCTCGAGCGCCAACGGTGCGAGATCACTCACCCGTGCCCCCGAAACCCCTCTTGGGTCTGGGAGCTGCGGCTGCTGGCAAGAATTTGCAAGACGCTGGCCTCCGCAACTGGCGGAGCGAGTGCGAAAGGGCCTGAGGTAGGGAAGAGGCCGCGCGCTTCGCGCTCTGCTGCTGACCTCAGCTCATCTTAGACAACTGTTTGAGCAGGTCAGCTGACATCTCGTATCTGGTGACAGATCTGAAGGCCGCCCAGCGGCCTCTCTTCTGAATGGCAAGGAGGTCCAGGGCCTTATTGAAACGATCGTGGACGGGGCCAGAGTGACGCAGCCAGTGGGGCGATCCGCCCAACGAGAGGCCGAGGCGTGTCAGGACGCGGCCGAAACTCTTTTCATATTGAGACAGGGTGAAAAGGAAAAGGCGGCAGCCAGGCTCAGTGCATCGGGCCAGCGTTGCGGCCGCGTCCGGCCAAGCCGAACTCCGCGGCGTCGTCAAAAATGCCCGTCTTGGTCGGCCGCCCGCGGTCGCCTGGGGCGAGGTGGAGCACGACCTTCCCGGCGTACTCAGCCCCAGCGTCGGCGCAGCCGACCAGCACGTCTTCGGGCCTGAGCGCCAGCGCTTCCGAGGGCCTGAGGTAGCAGTCCGCCTGGATCACCATGAGCGCCGCCAGCCTCGGCTCGCCGTCGGCAAGGAAAGCCTGCGCGAGCTGCCACGGGTAGGGCATGCCCACGGCCCCTGGGTCGCTCTTGCACCAGCCTTTGAGCTGCCGACGGGCTCGTGGGAGCCGCACCTGGCCGACGGGCGCTTGGTCCTTGACCGAGCTGGGCCAGCTCGCCTTTCGCATGGTTGGCCAGACCCGGCGTCGGCAAGGCTGCAGCGCTGTGGGCGGCCGGCACCGCCAAGAGGTCGAGCTCCTGAACGTGGCCCCGAAGCTACCTGCGGCGCTGACGCGTGACGACGGTTGGCGACGGGCGGTGGCCGGGCGGCGGCAGCACCCTGAGGGCCACATCAATATCAAGGAGGCGAGGGCGTGTGTCATGGGGTTGCGCAGGAGCTGTCGGGGCCCTCGGCATCACGGTCATCGGGTCCTCTCGCTGCGCGACAACATGGTGACGTGCTGCTGCCTCGACAAGGGGCGGTCGACCTCCAAGGCGCTGAACACGCAGTGCAGGCGGGCCGCCGGCTACGCGCTGGGTTGCGGGATTCGGCGGCGCGCCCGCCACGTCCCGACCGATCTCTGCGCGGCCGACTACGGCTCGAGGCTGCGCGAACCACCCGAGCCCCAGTGGCTGTGCGCGGCGAAGGCCCGCCGCCAGGCGGTGGCGCCCTGGGAGCCTGCGCGCCCCTCTCCAGCTCCCTCGACTCCCCCGAGTACGACCTCAGAGCCTACAGAGCACAAGCACGAGACCTCCCACATTCCCTCCTCCGCGTCTTCCAGACGTTCTAGCCCAGCTGGCCTCCGCGGGCTGCGGGCCGAGACAGCTCTCGAGCGCAGCGTTGGGGGCCGCTCAGCGTCGGCCGAGGCCGGACATGCTCGCGAGCCAGAGTCGGCAAAAGTCTTCTTGGAGCTCTTCTCGGGCACTGGAGGCCTCAGTCGGACGCTTGCATCTGCAGGCCTACGCGTGGGCTTCTCGTTCGACATCCGCAAGGGCGCTCAATGTGATCTATCTCGTCGGGCTACTCAGTTACTGGTTCTGAAGTGGTTACGATCTGGAAGAGTCTGGGGACTTCACTTGGGTACCCCTTGTAGTTCCTGGAGTATAGCCAGAAAGGGCGTGAAAGACCTCAAGCGTGCTCGAGCTACGGAACGGTTGGAGATTGCGTTGTTCACGAGCGAGGTGGTCCGTACTTGTCAGAGGTGCAACGTCCTGTGGTCCATCGAGAATCCTGCGTCGTCGGGGTTGTGGAGCTCCCCTCCGGTCGGGGGCCTGGCTGGGCTGGCCGGGGCTCGCTGGGTGAAGTTCCCGATGTGCGCCTACGGGGTCCCGCGCCAGAAGTGGACGGCGCTGCTGACCAACTCGCCCACGCTGGCATCGCTGGCGGCGGAGTGTACACACACCTCCCATCCTCACCTCTCGGGGCGAGTCAAAGTCGCAGATGATCGGGGAAAGGTCAGATGGGCTCGCCTGACGGAGCTGGCGGGCGCATATCCGTCGGCTCTCTGCTCGAGCCGGGCTGCGTGCCTGGCCAAGGCGACCCCCACCACGGCTTTCGGTGCTCTCCGCCGTTTGTGGAGGCATGGGCTGGCGAGCTGGAGGCCCTGGTACCGCGACGGCGTCGCGGCGCCGCTGAGGGCGACGCTCGGCCGGCTGACACGGCAGCGGGCGGCGACGCGAGCTGTGCCCGGGCCGACCGCTACCTCGCGGAGCACGGTGTCCTCTTCGGGAACACCAGCGCGGTCGAGCGGGCGGCCCTCCGTGCTCGCGGAGACGCTCTCGACCCGCCGAGCTGGTAGCAGCCGGGCGCCGGCCGCCCGACGGCGGCACACGCCTGTCGCCAAGGCCGCCGCCCAGGCCCACCACGCAGCCGCCGCAGGTCGCTCGCGGGCAGACTACCTCAAGCTGAAGGGCGTGTCGGAGGCTACCCTCGCACTGCACAGGAAAGGAGCTGATGAATTTGAATCATGGTGCCGACTGAACGGGCGCCAGAACAACAATTTGGTCAATGTAGACGCCAACCTCGTTGGCTGGATGACGGAGCTGTACTTCGCCGGGCCGGGGCCGGCTTCTGGCCGCAACGGGCTCTTCGGGTACCTGCTGCTGCGCGGGGGCGACCTCGAGTTTGGAGTCGGCCGTCCGGCACGCAGCTGCACGTCCGCGAACCTGGGGATCTCCAGCTCGTCGTCTGCTGGGAGGCCCCGTAGCTGCGCCATGTAGGCGCTGGTGTAGTGGGCGTCGTCACACTCCGCCTCAACCTCCACGAAGCGCCACCGCTCCCGCCAACGCCAGGCGCCCCGGACCGCCCGAGTCGGCTTCCGCCCGTACATCAGGCAGTAGCCGCCCGTCGACGAGTCGGAGACGTGCACCTCGTCGTCGTAGGGGGCCGCGAGGTTGACGCCCCCCGAGAAGGCCAGCGCGGCGGCCAGGCGCAGCTCGAGCCGAACTCCGCGAGGCAGGTCGCCGAGCACCGAGGCCGTTCCCGATGAAGGTGTACGTGTCCTGCAAGATGGACAGCAGCAGCGGCTGCAGCGAGAAGAGGTGGAGAGCGCGCCCCGCCCAAGCCCGCAGCTCGGCGGGCGTGCAGCGCCCGCGCCGGAGGAGCTCCTTGGTCCCGAAGTGGAACCGCCACACTCGATGCGGCGTGTGCCTGAGCGTCTTGTCGGACCCGTGTATCACGAGCCCAAGCGACTCGAGCTCGGCGAGCGCGACCTCGGGCACGTGGAGCTTCAGCCCCGCGTCCGCGGCAGCTCTCTCGAAGCCCCTCAACCCGAAGGCGGCGCCCTCCTTGCAGCCGCCCCGGCCCGTGAAGTTATCCACGTACACGGCGCTGACTGGACGTCCAGGCCGAAGAAGGGGAGCGGGGCGCTTGTCCTGGAGCAGCTGCTCGCTGCCCCCTGGGCATCCACGTTCGGCCGGCGTGGTCACGGCCTCCTGCGCAAAGTGGAGGGCCCGCGACCACCCCATGGGCAGCGCCCGCATCACGGGGTAGAGCAACTCGCCTGCCTGCACCGGGGTGGGCCCCTTGAGGTCGTCGTCGTAGACGTGGGAAATCTCCAGGCCCCACTCCTCCACGGTCAGCGGGCAGTCGAGGCCGAACCAGCTCGCGATGCCCTCCACCTCAAGCTGGTAGAAGCAGTCCTTCACATCCGCGCTCGACGCGTGGAGTTCGAGGGGCAGCTCCAGCGCCCCGCCGTAGCCGCCGAGGGCCTCGGCGAGGGGGCTGAGGCCCAGCTCGCTCAGGGAGGCGGGGCCGCCAAGCACGGTCCGTGGAGGCCGTCGGTGGCAAAGGTTCGCCTGGCGAGCATCACAAATGAAACGAATGCGACCATCTTTCTTGCGCGCGAGAAAAGCTCCGCAGCGGCTCTTGATCGCCCTGCGAAATCCCACAGCACCTGCCGCCGCCAGCCGGCGGAGAAAATCATGACGAGTTGACCGATCTCCGCGGAGGGCGGGGTCCCAGTAAGGTGTCGGGAGCCCTCCCGCGGTCTGTAGCCGAGCCTCCAGCTCCGGCGCGGTCAGCCCCACCTGGCTCTCGAAGTGTCTCAAGTGCCCAGCCGCAGCCTCTGGGGGCAAGGCCGACGCAGGGACAGGCCGCAGCGCGCCGGACGCGATGTGCAGCTTGTCGGGGTCGTAGCTCGCCAGGTGCCGCGGCTCCAGCTCGCGCTGGTCGGCGGACTTGAGGATCGCCCGGAAGGGCCGCTCACCATCCGTCGCTTCGCGAGGAGGCTCGCCGTAGCCGCTGACCCCCGCAACCACGTGGGCCAGAGCACTCCTTTGGACCGCAGTCGGCGGTCCCCCCCGTGGGCGCGCGCGATGAACCTTGCCATCGATCGAACTCGTCTTGGAAGCAGCGAGGTGGTTGAGGGCCTCAACCGTCTCTCTAACCCGCTCTTGCTTCTTGGCCCTGTGGTGCCATCTGCGCACCGTGGACCTGGCTGGTCCCGTCGGCCGCCCCTCCTCGTGCTGTACGGGGGGCGGGAACGGATCATTGTGGAGCCAGTGGCCGTCCGGCCACCAATACTTCTTTGGCAGCTCGCTGACTCCAGGACGGCGGTGCATGCCAGACGCAGGCTCGGCCAAGCCCACTGCGCAGGCACCGCCTCTGCGGGGAGTCATCCCCCCTCCCCCTCGGCGCCCGTCGAGGGGGGCCCTCTCTTCGCCGTCGCCTTCTGTTTGGCCCGTGAGCCGTCGCCCGTCTCGCCCTTGCCGTCGCCCTTTACGCTCCGCCGCTTCGACGCCTCCTCCTGGTAGAGCCTCTGCTGCTTGAGGATATGGGCGCGGTCCTTCTGGCGGTTGGTGACATGCTCGAGGTGCCGCGGCACGTGGGCTGAGCCGCTCACCGACCGCGGCCCAGCCAGCACGTCCTCCAGCCCGCTGAAGTCAGGGTGCCGCGGGTTCTTCTCGACTGCCATCTCGACCTGGATGACGCGCCGCACGATGTGCTCGAAGCACGTCAGGTTGACCGCATTCAGCTGGTCGTGGCAGATCGCCCTGCGCAGCGTCTCGAGGTGGCAGCGATGCTCGTGTCCCTGGGCGCCGCCCTCCGCCACGCCGCTGAGCCGCTGCCACTCAGCCTGGTAGGTGAGCAGGTTGCCAGCCCCCAGCGCGATGCTCTTGAGGTACTCGAGGCGCGCCCGCGGCCCTTGATCAGGCCAGTCTGCGACGGTCACCTCTCTCATGGACTCGACGGCGTCCCTGAAGTCCAGGTCCCGTCGGCCAACTCGCGAGCGGTGGTCCCCCAACACTCGAATATCCTCGACGTCCTCACGGCGCGACTGCGCCCGACTATCTCGCTCTCCACGAGGGGCCCGCCCCACGAAGCGCGGCTCCCCATCGATCATGCACACTCCACGGTCGCCGAGCGAGACGCACCTGTCGCCATCCTCGATGACGTCGGCAGGCACAGCCTCGCCAAAGCGAGCGTCCGCGACACTCGCCAGCAACCGCGCGTACTCCTCGGCGTCCTCGACCTCCCCCCCGCCCAGGAGGGCGGCCCGTCGCTGGGCCTGCCGCTTCGCGTCTCGCAACGTCTGCCCGTCGACTGGGTCGAAGGCATGCGCCAGCGGCGCGAACTGGGCGGGGAAGGCCGACGACCGATCCAGCACATGATGTCGCAAGGTGCCGAGGTCCACTCTCGCAATCTCGTGATCCGGCGCGAGGCCCAGCCACAGGGCGCCCTCGACCCGGCGCAGCAACACTCGGTGGTGCCACTCCAGATCCTCGTCGGGGTAGTGCACCAACACCTGGGCCTCGCGGATGCCGAGCGTCCTAGCAGCCATCCCGACGCTGAGCCAGCGAGCTGGGCGTCGTCGCCACGGCCGTCACGGCTGGCCCCGCGGGCACGCCCGGCGCTGGGGGCGCTGCGGCCCTGGCGGAGCGGCCTCCCGCCCCTCGGGCCGAGGAGGCTGGCTCTCCGCCGCCGCCGCTGGTGCCGCTCGGGCACCCCCAAGCCGCCCCCGCGGCCTGGCGCGCACGCCCCAGCAGGCTGGCGCCCGCGCAGCCCACGGCTAGCCCAGCCCCCGCCGAGCACAAGGCCACCGCCGCACTGGCCCAGAGCAGCGAGGTGGCCTGCCCCTCGGTGCAGTTGCAGTCGCCGCACTGCAAGCCTGGGCAGCTCGGCAACGTCACTGACGGGCAGGAGACTGAGGGGCACGCGGGGCAACTCGCAGCCAGCCGCGACGTGCGGAAGTGGAGGGCAGCTGGGAGGAAATCGCGAGCAAGCCCCAAAAGACCCACTGGGAGCATGCCCTCAGAAGCTTGAGCCAGAACAGATACGGTCGCATCTGCGCTGTGAACATAAACGGTACGCTAAGAACGAGGGCCAAGAACGCACATCTTAAAGATTACAAGTTTGCGCCAATTGTTCTCGCTTTCGGTTTTCTTGTTGGGGCCCCAAAACGCCCCCAGCGTCATGTCCAAGAGGGCTGGCTGAAATTGGAATCATTCGCGGAAAATGTACGATGGACCAAGCTGTTGACGAATCGGTGAACGAGAAATTCGCGCCGCCGAGGTGAAACCGCGTCGTTACTTCGCGCGGCATGCATCGCCAGTCCCACTCCTGCCGCGCCTTCTGCGACGTGTTTTTGTTTGCGTTGTTTTGTTATTGTTTGTGTGTATGTATAGCTGAAAATGCTTATACATGATAGTACATATATATATATATATATATATATATATATATATTTATATGTGTTTATACATGTATATACAAACGTGAACTGCAGTTTGTTTGAGTGAGGCGTGGGATGGGACGTCTCTGATGGAAAAGCTATCGGCTGGCATGGTTGCGGAGTTCGAATATCCGCCGGCGACGCCTGCGCGGAGTGTGGGAAAATGCTCCTCTGGTGGTCCGGAGGTTTTGACTGCTTTTCGAGCGCCCCCCCCCTCGTCGCGCGCGCGGCTAGAAAATTGCCCCCCCTGCATTCGCTCTCCAGCGCGGCCCCCAGTCGGATCCAAAGGATCGCCAGGGAATTTCCTAGATAATCCACATGGCACCGAGACGGCCCAAAACAGCGCTAGGGTCAGAGGCTCCAAACGGCCGAAAGAATGCTCGAGAAGCTCCAATAACCGCCCAAAGGGGCCCCGTGCGATCGGTGGCAACGCGCGCCGAACAGTGCGTGATGGTGAATGGATGTTTCCTTCGCGAAGCTCAGCGCAAGGGTTGTCTGAGCCAGTGCGATCGCAGGCAGCATGCTTGCACGAGGAATGCACGTGGTCTTATACTCACAACAACTCAACTACGTTTAATGCGGGTGAAGAGCGTCATCTTTTCTCCCTCAGCTTCTCGTTCAATAAGATGACATGGCGTCTTAAGAGTAAGCAGTTCTCCAAGCAGCTGCGCGCGCATTGAAACGCATCGCTGCGTAGGAAAACAACGCATCGGCTGAGGGTTCGCTGAGAACCAGTCTTCAGAACAAAAACCTCTGGGATGCATTGCGCGCTATCTCACCGTCGTTCGCTTTGGGCGTCGATAGATGCTGCGCGCCGCCTTCAGCCTCGAACCTCGTGAGAATCCAGCGGCGGAATGCTGCCCCTCCGCGCAGGATTGCACGCCGCGCACCTCGCGCTGGACGTTGTCGTTGGACCCCGCATGTGATGCAGGCCTGCTGGGCCGTTGAACTGGTTCTCTTGGCGTCGTCTGGCTCGCCGAAGTGATACTTGCACGCGCACCTCTTGCATGGCGCGCGCTGGCCAACGAGCGCCCTGCGGCGCGAGTCGCGCCATCTCGAAATCCACGGATCGTAGTGTTCGTCCTCCTTAATCGGCTGCTGGGCGTCCTTGTCTTGTTCGGCGTTGTCGCTGTCGCTCAGCTTCCTGCGTGACGAATCCTTCTGGCCCCGCGGGCGCGCCCGGCGCTGGGGGCGCTGCCGCCCTGGCGGAGCGGCCTCCCGCCCCTCGGGCCGAGGAGGCTGGCTCTCCGCCGCCGCCGCTGGTGCCGCTCGGGCACCCCCAAGCCGCCCCCGCGGCCTGGCGCGCACGCCCCAGCAGGCTGGCGCCCGCGCGGCCCACGGCTAGCCCAACCCCCGCCGAGCACAAGGCCACCGCCGCACTGGCCCAGAGCAGCGAGGTGGCCTGCCCCTCGGGGCAGTTGCAGTCGCCGCACTGCAAGCCTGGGCAGCTCGGCAACGTCACTGACGGGCAGGAGACTGAGGGGCACGCGGGGCAACTCGCAGCCAGCCGCGACGTGCGGAAGTGGAGGGCAGCTGGGAGGAAATCGCGAGCAAGCCCCAAAAGACCCACTGGGAGCATGCCCTCAGAAGCTTGAGCCAGAACAGATACGGTCGCATCTGCGCTGTGAACATAAACGGTACGCTAAGAACGAGGGCCAAGAACGCACATCTTAAAGATTACAAGTTTGCGCCAATTGTTCTCGCTTTCGGTTTTCTTGTCGGGGCCCCAAAACGCCCCCAGCGTCATGTCCCAGAGGGCCGGCTGAAATTGAAATCATTCGCGGGAAATGTACGATGGACCAAGCTGTCGACGAATCGGTGAACGAGAAATTCGCGCCGCCGAGGTGAAACCGCGTCGTTAATTCGCGCGGCATGCACCGCCAGTCCCACTCCGGCCGCGCCTTCTGCGACGTGTTTTTGTTTGTGCTGCTTTGTTATTGTTTGTGTGTATGTATTTATAACTTAATATGTATATACATGACATTCTATATTTGTGTGTATATATAACTATATATGTATATACAAACGTGAACTGCAGTTTGTTTGAGTGAGGCGTGGGATGGGGCGTCTTTGATGGAAAAGCTATCGGCTGGCATGGTTGCTGAGTTCGAATATCCGCCGGCGACGCCTGCGCGGAGTGTGGGAAAATGCTCCTCTGGTGGTCCGGAGGTTTTGACTGCTTTTCGAGCGCCCCCCCCCCTCGTCGCGCGCGCGGTTAGAAAATTGCCCCCCCCCTGCATTTGCTCTCCAGCGCGGCCCCCAGTCGGATCCAAAGGATCGCGAGGAGATTTCCTAGATAACCCGCATGGCACCGAGACGGCCCAAAACAGCGCTAGGGCCAGAGGCTCCAAACGGCCGAAAGAATGCTCGCGAAGCTTCAATAACCGCTCAAAGGGGCCCCGTGCGATCGGTGGCAACGCGCGCCGAACAGTGCGTGATAGTGAATGGATGTTTCCTTCGCGAAGCTCAACGCAAGGGTTGTCTGAGCCAGTGCGATCGCAGGCAGCATGCTTGCACGAGGACTGCACGTGGTCTTATACTCACAACAACTCAACTACGTTTAATACGGGTGAAGAGCGTCATCTTTTCTCCCTCAGCTTCTCGTTCAATAAGATGACATGGCGTCTTAAGGGTAAGCAGTTCTCCACGCAGCTGCGCGCGCATTGAAACGCATCGCTGCGTAGGAAAACAACGCATCGGCTGAGGGTTCGCTGAGAACCAGTCTTCAGAACAAAAACCTCTGGGATGCATTGCGCGCTATCTCACCGTCGTTCGCTTTGGGCGTCGATAGATGCTGCGCGCCGCCTTCAGCCTCGAACCTCGTGAGAATCCAGCGGCGGAATGCTGCCCCTCCGCGCAGGATTGCACGCCGCGCACCTCGCGCTGGACGTTGTCGTTGGACCCCGCATGTGATGCAGGCCTGCTGGGCCGTTGAACTGGTTCTCTTGGCGTCGTCTGGCTCGCCGAAGTGATACTTGCACGCGCACCTCTTGCATGGCGCGCGCTGGCCAACGAGCGCCCTGCGGTGCGAGTCGCACCATCTCGAAATCCACGGGTCGTAGTGCTCGTCCTCCTTGATCGGCTGCTGGGCGTCCTTGTCTTGTTCGGCGTTGTCGCTGTCGCTCAGCTTCCTGCTTGACGAATCCTTCTTGCTCGGTGCATCCGGAGGCTTCTCGGTCTTGGTGGCGTCTTCGCCTTTCGTCTTGTTATTTGGTGTGGACTCTCGCGCATGTGCTCGCAAGCTTGGCCGAGCGTCGTTCCGTGCGTGATCAGCGCCGTTGCCGTGCCGATCTCGTCGCCAATGAGCCCTTCGCTGATCTCCTCTTTGGCTCGGCCAGTAGTGCGCCTCGTCCATGTGGATGGTCCGCGTTCACTCTCGGAGTCAGGTTTCAAACTGTCGCTTTCGTCGTCAGTGGTCGGACAGTGCTTGAACTCCTCCTGCGTGAGGGTCATGAAGACATGGGTTCCCGCTGCTCTCGGATTGCTCGTGCCTCGGGAAAGCATGTCTGTCCCTTGCCGCAAGCCCTTCCTTCGCTGCCATCTGCTCCTACGTCATGGTCGTCTACTCGTCTGACTCGTTCGGCTTGGATGCTCCAGTGCCCGTCTGTCCGCGCTCGCTAGTCCCGACCGTCTCGTTGTCCTCCGCGTGGAAGTCCGTCTGGCCGATTCAGTGCTCCTTCGTCGTGATCCAGGTGCCTCGCATGGTCCTCGTCGAACCGCTGGTCGTTGATGATATGCGTCTTGCCTCCCTCGCGTTGCACCGCGGTGCGTCTCTCGAGGGCGAGGTCGTTCAAATCCGCCAGCGGCCCTGAAGCTCCTCCAATTGGGGCAAACAACCTTCTGCGAGGAACCGCGTGAATTCGTCGAGCCCCTGTGCCGGTGACTTCCAAGCAATGCACTTCGCGCTTTTTCTTCGCCACCTTCGCTCGGAGCACTTGTTCTTCGCGCTCGTGAGCTCGAGCGGTGGGGGGCCTCCGTCTCGCGCCGCGCGCCTCGCGCCTCTTGGCGTTGACCGAAGGCCCCTCGAGCTTCCGTCGAACTCTGGGTGCTCTGGCGCGTGGTGCCTGTCGCGCAATGCCCCGCCCGACCCGAATGACACTCCATGGCAACAAATTTGAAAAACAATAAA